TGGTCAAATGTTCTACACTTGGCTGCTGAAAATACACTGTGCAGTGATAATACAGACAGAAGGCCAAAAGTAAAAATTAATTTCAGGATTAATTGCAATAATTTATCTTCCTTAAGGAAAGTTATAACATGCCAGGTCCTAGGTTCAACATCCTGCTGCCATTGAGCTGTGACAAATGTATTAGTTTGCACATTTATGACAACAATTTGCATTTATATAGCAGCTTTCACATCATAAAACTCTCAGAGCTCTTCAGAGAAGCATTATAAAATAATGTATGACACTGAGCCATATTTTACTCATATTCACAGAAGGAAATATGGGATCAAAGCACACAGAGACAGGTTTTAAGGAGTGTCTGAGAGCAGGAAGGTAAGATACAGAAGGAAATATTTAGGGATGGAAGTGGAGAGTTTAGAACCCTGGCAACTGAAGACATGACACTCATGACAGAATGATTAAAATTGGACCAGACTCAGAGGATTGCAAATGTCTCAAGAGGGGTGTGAGGCTCAAACAGACGATAGAAATGGGGAGGAATGCCTTTATAGAGGGATTTGGAGGCAAAGATGACTGTTTTAAAATCAATTTGTTGCTTAACCGGGGGCCAGTGAAGGTCAGAGAGCAAAGGAAAGATGGGTGAATGGGATTTAGTGTGAATCACAACATACAATGCAAATCTTTGGATGTCCTCAAGTTCACAGAGGGTAAAATGTGGGGAGGCAGCCAGGAATGAATTAGAATACTTGAATCTAAAGGTAAAAATGGCAATTGAAGGTTTTACCAGCAAATGATTAATCATAGAATCCCTACAGTGTGAAAGCAGGCCATTCAGCCCATTGCGTTCACATCAATCCTCCAAAGAGCATCCCCCTACTTTATCTCTATAACCATGCATTTCTCATGGTTAATCCATCTAACCTGGAAACCAGAGCACCTGGAGGAAACCCACACAGACAAGGGGAGAATGTGCAAACTCCACACAGTTGCCTGAGCCTGGAAATAAACCCGGGCCCTGGCGCTGTGAGGAAGCAGCGCTAACCACTGAGCCACCCTCACGATCCAGGGGTGTGGAATTGGATGATATTACAGTTGTGGAAATAGACATTCTTAGTGATAGCTCTTGAATGAGATTGGCGACTTATCTCAGGGTTAAATATGGCACAAGTAGGATGTATAGTTGGTTCTACTATGGATAACTGCCGGAGAGTCAGATGGAGTTGGTAACTAAGGAATAGAGTTTGTCACAGAGGCTTAGCTCTGCTCAGTATTAAGTTGGTGAAAATATCTACTGAGTTTGAGATCAGAATGGTGCAGAACTGCTGAGTTGAGGTAGAGTTGGATGTTCTTCGCATTATATGGAAACTGACGCATTCAGACAAGGTGAAGGCTTTGGCCAGGAGGCTCCTCAGAGTTTCTCCAACTCCTTCATGGAGTCTTGGCCAGTACAGAGACCCCCAGGTTGTGAATGGGTGCTGTTCTGGAGTCCATTCACAAGTCAATTTGTACACAAGTCGGAACAGAAGACAATATAAAATAGCCATTTGGGAGTCCAGGAAACATTTGTATGTCGGATCATTAAAATTACACCCCTGTTTGGGATCACGTTGGTCAAGTAAGTCAGATGGTCATAAATCAGGGACCCCTGTATATATTTTGTCACAGACAAATGAATTATATTTGCAAAGTAGGAGATATCCTGATGACATCCATTTCATAATGAAAGGCTCCTCCTGAACATCGGGGAAAGGATGTCAGGGAAATGGTCCCAGATACAGGAATGTGCTCTGCAAGAAGCATGGGATGAGCTGTGGCACTAAACAAAAAGGCAAGACAGTATTGCAGTGGAAATCCTGTTTGCTGGTAAACATTTGGTGTTATTAAGACAAGTCTTAATGTCTGTAAATAAAAAAGCAGTGAACCGGTGTAGTTTGCTTTACTCTATTATTTGGTATCAGGTCCTAGTATGGATTTTTAATATGATGTATTCGTCATTTGCTTGGTTTGTTGTTCAGCCACAGGCTAGGATGGAATTGAGCCCTTTTGTAATAAATGACTCTGACACAACAGGTAAGTTGGCAAGATGCTATGAAATTTTACATTGATTTTGTCAGCGAATCTGAGATTGTAGAGTGGAGGATGCATACTAGAATTGATTGATTGATTGATTGACTTGATTGATTTATTTATTGTCACATGTACCGAAATTCAGTGAAAAGCTTTGTTTACAAGCGGTACAGGTACATCATAGTGAGCAAAGGATGTACAGATTATAAAGACTTAGACAGAGGCATACAAGATACATTGCACAGGGCGTGCTAGGCAAGATCAATGTTAGCAAGATCAGCATTATTTAAGGCTAGAGAGTCCATTCATCAGTCTGATAACAGCCAGGAAGAAGCTGTTTCTGAACCTGCTTGTGCGTGTGTTCAGGCTTCTGTATCTTCTGCCTGAGGGAAGAGATTGTAGGAGGTCATTACCTGGCTGCGATGGGTTTTTGATGACATTGGCAGTCTTTCTGTGGCAGCGAACCGTGTAAATAGAGTCCATGGATGGAAGGTTGGCTTCTGCAATTGTCTGGGCTGTGCACACAACCTTCTGTAGTTTCACAACCTGGACAGATCAGTTGCCGTACCAGGCTGTTATGCACCCGGACTGTATGGATTCAATGGTGCATATGTAGAAGTTGGTGAGGGACTTTATGAATGTGCCAAATTTGCTGAGCCGCCTGAGGGAAAAGAGGCGTGGTTGTGCCTTCTTGACCATCGCATATGCATGGGAAGTCCAGGGCAGGTTGTCTGTTATCATCTCTCCGAGGAACTTAATGCTCTTCATCCTGTCAACCGCAGTCCTGTTGATGTAGATAGGGCATGTTCTCCTCCTTTTGAACACGCCCCCAGCTACATCTTCCTCAGGCAGCTCAGGAAATTTGGCATGTCCATAAGGTCCCTTACCACCTTCTACAGATGTACCATTGAAAGCATACTGCCCGGGTGCATAATGGCCTGGTATGGCAACTGCTCTGCCCAGCTCCGTAAGAAACTACAGAAGGTGGTGTGCACAGCCCAGACCCTCACAGAATCCAACCTTCCATCCATGGACTCCATTTACATGGCTCACTGCCACAGAAAGGCAGCCAACATCATCCAAGACCCATTGCACCCTGGTAATGACCTCCTACAATCTCTTCCCTCAGGCAGAAGTTACAGAAGCCTGAACATACGTATGAGCAGGTTCAGAAACAACTTCTTCCTGGCCATTATCAGACTGATGAATGGATCCTCTAGCCTCAAATCATGCTGATCTTGCTAACATTGATCTTGCCTAGCACATGCCCTGTGCAATGTAACCTGTATGCCTCTGTCGAAGTCTTTACGATCTGTACATGCTTTGCTTACTATGATGTGCCTTTACAGCTCACAAACAAAGTTATTCACTGGATTTTGGTACTTGTGACAATAAATAAACCGTGCAAATAAATCAATCAATCAATCAATCAATTCTAGTATGCATCCTCCACTCTACAGTCTTGGATTTGCTGACAAAACCCAATGTAAAATTTTAAAGCAATTGTTCTGCCATCAGGAGCATTACAGAAAGACTCAATATGCCAGTTGAAAGCTGAAAGCTCACATTTTGTCCCATTTACTAACTTGAATGAAAAGGTTGCACTGTTAAGTGCTTTCATTGCATACAATGCATGCATTGTTATCACCAAAATTAATAACCTTCTGGGTCTTTAAGTTGAACTTCTGATGCACAGATTTCTACATTGGGAAACAGAAGGTGCCGGATCTTTCACTGCTTCTGTTTCTGCTGTTGGCTACAATCCATTGCACTATTGCATTATATAGCTTGAATGCATATGTTTTATATGTATTTATAATATACATTTTTCTCATGTAGTTGTATGAATTGTATAGTTTAAAAGCATGACAAAAACCGCTGCAATAAATAATTAAGAAGCATCTCTGCCATCAATGGTAGGTGAACCTGACCTCCCCACTAGGCATGGTCTCATATCAATGTGTCCAGATTGTAACCCTGAAAAACTATCTTCTATAATGCAACTTGAGTTGTATCATGCTCCAATGATTAATAAATAATCCTATCAATAATCCGGAAAGGAATCCCGATTCAGCACTCTGATACTGCTGCATATTTTTTTGAATCATGTATCCCTAAGGAATACATCAGAGCTGCTTTTCCCATGTCCCCTGATTCTTAAATATGCATCCAATTAATTTTCTGATCTGCATCTCTCTTTCATTACTGACTATGGGACTCCTATCTCGCAGAATTTATTTTGCTCACAATGAGTGAGAAAAGCTTGAAAATGTGAACACATTTATAAGTGGGGGAATGCTGTTCGAAGTAGCAAACTGTTCTGCGTCCATCTTGGGTTGCACTGTTGTCTCTTAGTTGGCGAGATTTTGTCTTCAGCCCGTCTGCTGAGAAATGAGCGCGGCATCTGGCCTGACGCTTCAGTATGGTACTGATGGAGCAGTGTCCTGTCAGAGGTGCCATCCTTCAAAGAAGACATTTAGCCAAGGTCCTGTTTTACCTCTCAAGTGGCTGTGTCTCATTTGTATTTTGAAGAAAGAGCAGGCAAGTTTTACCTAGTCAATAGCTATTCCTCAACTAAAATAAAATACATAATCCAGTTATTATCTCATTGCTGTGCATAACCTGGTTGCTGCGGATTTTATATTACAACAGTGAATATCCTTGAGAAATATTTAATAGGTAGCATAATCCTTTGGGAAAGGTGGGAGTCCTGAAAGCGCCATTTAAGTGGAATTCATTTTTTTCCTTTCATTGCACATATATATAATTCCTTACTCTTCTTAATTTTTAACTCTGTTTTTTGGTGTTGAATTTAGCTTCCACAATAGTGATCAATTTGCCTGTGAACACGAGCGTGGATTGCAAATTTGAATGTGTTGAACTGTGATAAAACTTCCAGAATAACCCTAGACCTGTTATTTCTCTCCATCTAGATGGATCATGACCCTAGGAATCCTGCGTACATTGCTGCTCAAGGTCCCCTCCCTGCCACTGTTGCAGATTTCTGGCAGGTAAGAACATTGTCCATGCATTATTTATATCCCAGGGTAAAATTCGAAAGAGCTGAAGGAATGGGAACTCGGTAAAATGCTGCAGGTTCATGTTTTATCTGATATTTAACATTGGTTATAATTTCATTCATGATCATTGATTATGTTTTTATCTGCCTTTTGGCTTGAAGCTAAATCGCAAAACATTTGTGAAAGTTTTGATAAACACCTAGTTTTCTCCATGCGACAAGCCTCCGAGTTTCGTAAGTAACACATATGCCATTAAATTGAACATTCACACGCAAAATAAAACCTTTTTAAACTCTGCTTTGTTGGATGTCTGAAGTGGTCGAATGTGGAAAGAAATAGATACATGATACTTCAGTTCATAGTTCCAATCTGACATAGAGCAGCACACAAATGTGTTCTGGGGAAGGGTCACTGAACCCAAAATGTTAACTCTGATTTCTCTTCACAGATGTTGCCAGACCAGTTGAGCTTTTCCAACTTCTGTTTTTGTTTCTGATCAAACAAATGCAGTTATTTTCTTTGATACCAAAACGTCTCTTTTCTAATGTATAAAAATGCAAAAACAATCACATTTTCAGATTGTTCTGTGATGTAACCAAAGTTTTCTTCAAGAAAAGCTTGAAGCATTTACTAATTTGCTTATTTCTTGTAATCCAAAATTGTTGTTGATGTTTTTTGAGACATGGAATAGCTTATTTGATTTTACTCTTGCCAACATTAAAAGTAATGATTATTGAGATTGAGGGATGATACTTTTCTCCCTAGTCAAGTGTACAGAGTTGGGAAAATTCACAACTCCCCAAATTGGCAGGGGAGAAACATTCCAAAAACTTTGAATTTTCATTCCAGTGGGACTGAGAGGAAAGGAATCTGCGGTTGGGCATTCCCAGGAGTTGGAATTCGGCCACCCACACTGCTGGAAATGATTATCATTAAAATAATAAGGCCCTTTAGCCCTCATTCCTCACATCCCTTTCTCCCACGCACACTGTCCATGTCTAATCCATGCATCCTCATGCCCTCTATGCATCCCCCATGGCCCCTCATAGCCTCCATTTGAACCTTTGCACTCCTTATCGACGTCATAGTCTCCAAGGGAATTTAGTGCCAACCCATGACTACTATATCTCATTGTAGCCTCCATGCCTATTTAGTGCCAACTCATGCCAAACTATGCCCCCACTCATCACTCTTTTCCTTCACAGTCTCCACAATATCAATCTCAGGAGTCAAACAGAGATGAAATAAAATAAAGTTCTCAGTCTCTCTTACAGACATTATTATGTTACATTAAATAAATACTCATTGATAAAAGGCCGCTCAACAAATTCCTTCAAGTACTTAATCCTGTATAAAATCACCATTTACATTCTCAGCCACATCAGTTAATGATTCATAACCATGTGGAATTGTCAGTCATGCTGCACATACACGGCTCCCACTATGATAATGATATTTGTATTGTAGTTGAGTCATATAACGATAACCCTTGGGCATACGCCAACAAACAACTATTAAAAGGGCCAGCACTGATTTTTTTTTCATCTGAATGTCACAGCAAACTGTTTGTTTAAAAATTTATTGGGCGGGGTTTTAAACGATTTGATAACTTGACAGTTTGCCAAACATTATCCATCCTTTCCTTGCATTCATGTCTATTAATAACAATCCCATAGATTGGTACTCTTTAAAATGGTACCTGAATTCTCCAGAAAACTCCAGTAGGTTTAGTCTTTTTCATCAAAATTGTAAAACCCCTGAGTCATGTTTCAGAAGCCGGTCTGACCGTGTATCATGTACTCATGATAACATCATGTGGAAATCATGTACTCCCTCCTGAAGGAAGGTCAGTGTGCCCCTGGTGAACGAAAGAAACCTTTCAAAGGTCACATCAAGACCAACCTCAAGAAATTCCATATCAACATCAAAAACTGAGAGGATATGGCTGCAATCCGGAATTACTGAAGGAACATTATCCAGCAGGGATCTATACTCGATGAAAATGATCTTCACCGAGCCGCTGAACAGAAGCAACTCTTGCACAAGGAGAGACAGAACATCAGGAAGGCCCACCCACCACCACCTCCAACCGACCGTTACCGCCCACCGATGACCACAATGCAATAAAATCTGTGGATCCCAGAGTGGCTTCTTCAGCCATCTGAAGATAGCCGCCCTTATGGAAGACAATCATACTCGACCCGAGTGATTGCTGATAGATAGATGCCGGTCTGAAAAATTGCTTCTGATTGAAGACAGTTCCACTCTCAAATGTGTGTCTGCCTCCATGGTCTGCAGGCATGTGCCCACCTCCGACTCCCCATCAACAGATCCCTCATGAACATGGGGAGTGCCAGGTTCCAGGGCAAGACTTCCAGAACTGGGGCTACCGTCCCATTGGGTTAAAGCACAGAACCCTTTCTTCTACTCAGAAAGTACAGCCTTAATGAATAAATTGTTACTCATTTCTCTTGGTAAATAAGTATACCTTTAGCGCTTCCTTCTCCACATTTTGCTGCAGAACTCAGAAAGGGCAGTGTCTGTCGATGGTGCTGGGAGCATCAGTTTATGTAACTCATTGAATAAAGTTGGTGTGTTCTGATTTAACACATCAGTGCACTGCACTGACCATGAACTCCATCACCCTTGCCATGAGTACTTTGTATGCAGATCTCAATAATTAGAATGGAATTTGCATTTTATGTAATTTGCTCATTGGCCTGATGTAGCAAATTAACTGAGTGAAAGAGGATATTTCATACTAACTTTAAATAAAATGCAGCTCCTCCAGGCAAATGGAAAGCAGCCAATGAAAGCAGAAAATCCATTATCTTCACCGTCAGTAACAAAACCTTATATTTCCTTAGGAGCGTATGATCTTACAAATTACCAACAGGCATAAATTGTTCAGTCCCTCAATCCTTCGCCACCATTTGAGAAGTTCATGTTTAATCTGATGTGCACTCAATTCTATTTTCCTGTTTAACCTTGACTCCCTTGTTAATCATGAATCTACCTAAATTAATCTAAAGAGTGCTCAATGGCCCACCGTCCACTCCTCAGTGGAGACTATTGACCTTCTGAGAGAAAAAAAAATCCTCTTCATAGCTGTCCTAAATGGGAAACCCTTTATTTTTAAGCTGTGGCCCCTAGTTCAAGTCTCCCACAATGGAAAACATTCAGAACCCACCTTCCCAAGTCCCCTCAGAATCATAAATGTTTCAGTAAGATCCCTCTCTCACTCTTCTCAATTCCAATGGATACAGTTTGGCCTTGCTTCATAATATAACCTCATCGTCTCAGGAATTAGTCAAGTGAATCTTCTCTGCTCCTTCTATGCAAACATATTTTTTCTTAAGTAAGGAGACTACAATGATATACAGTACTCCAGACGTGATTGCACTGCTGCACTATGCAAGATATGCAGCGCAATCAATTGTAACTTCCTCCCACTGACTTAATCCTGCAGAGGTAAACACACAACAATAATGTATATAAGACTTTAATGAAAGCCACTTGAAATATCAGGGCAGATGTCCAAAAGCGCAGACAAGGTGTTGGGTTTTAGAGAACACCTTGAAGAAGGAAAGCAAGGTAGTTAAATGGAAAGGTTTACGATGCAAAGTTCCAGAGCTCAAAACCTAATGGCTTAAAGAGATGTTTTCTAATCAACCTGTCCAGATATGTTGTTGTGCACACACAAACAGAAAGTGCTGGAAAAACTTAGCAACTTGGAACGAAAACAGTTAACATTTATGGATGGCATAGTGGTTCAGTGGATAGCATTGCCAGGAACCCAGGTTCGATTCTACCCACAGGCAACTGTCTGTATAGAGTTTGCACATTCTCCCCATGTCTGCACAGGCTTCCTCCAGGTGCTCAGATTTCCCCCCATTGTCCAAAGATGCGCAGGTTAGGTAGATTGGCTGTGATAAATTACACTCGTCTCCAGGGATGTGCAGCCTAAGTGGATTAGCCAAGGGAAATGCTGGGTTACAGGGATAGGGTAGACGGGTGGGTCTGGACGTGTTGCTCGGAGGATCGGTGTGGACTCGTTGGGCCGAATGGCCTGCTTCCACATTGTAGGGATTCTATGATTTCGAGTGCAGTGACCCTTCTTCATTACACACCTCTGGACAAGAATAGACTTGAACCCAAGTCTCCTGGCTCAGGAGCAGGGACACTACCACTGCATCACATGATTCCTCACTAGTAGCTATATGCTGACTGAATGTAATAGTTCTTCTGATGGCACAGTTTCTCTCCTCCCGCTAATTGAAGTGACAATTCTAATTCTGCACGAAGTATTTCCAAAAGATTCTCCTAAAGTTCCTTCACAATGGTACTTCTTCCATCCCCCACTAATTCTCCCATTCTAACAATTAAGCAACAGGGAAGGTGATTATTTCAATCATCCTCTGCCTTCAATGAGGAACACTCTACTTCCCCACCCCCTAACTACTGACCAAAGATTCTGGAGCTTGCTCCTCAAAATTCTTCCCCATTTCACTGTGAAGCCCTCAGGGAAGGTTGTGGCATGATGTTAAAATCACTGGATTAGTAATCTGAGAACTCCGTAGGGACTGTCTGCAGATTTGAGTTCAAATCCCACAATAAGAGATGCTGAAATTTGAATTTAGTGAAAACCTGGAATGAGAAGCTAACCCAATGTGACCATGTAACCACCTACTTCACTAATGTCCTTGCAGAAGGAAATCTGCCCTACATATGAGTCCAGACTTACAGCAACAGGGTGCACTCTTAAGTGCCTTTTGGGCAATTAGGGATGGACAATAAACGCTAATGTAGCCAGCGACTCCAACATCCCATGAATAAATAAAACAAAATCCTGATCCTGGCTCCCTGGAGTTTCTTCACAACCTCCTGACTGAGCACTTTTGGGCCTTCAGTAACCCTTTCCCTCATCTTCCTTCTTCTGCGCTTCCCTCCTTTTCTTCCCTTTTAGATTCCTATCTACCTCATCCTGGCCCCAATTCCATCTATCCTACCTTTTCCCCTTATCTTTGCCTTCAGTCTTTCCCCTTCTGTTTCCCTCTCTGCACCTCACCTCACTTCCTTCCAAACTGTCTCCTCTCCCTCCCGCATTTTTTGGTTCAATTGTTCCCTCACGTGCTGGACCCAACTTGATCTAATTAGTGACTTTGGTTCTGACTTCTTATCTAATTAAGAATGAATAGGAATTGATAAAAAAAAGGGCACATACAAATCATTTATTACTTAGCATTTAGAATGTCAGAGCTCAGATGAACTCTGTGTACTTTAGAAACATCTATTGATGCCCTGTCTCTAAACCTTTTCTAATTGCTTTTCACATGTGCTGAGCTTTAATTTTTAATGGGACTAGCGACCTTCCCTGCCAGGTTCTCCACAAGATGCATGGGTGGCTTGCATCGCAATCCATTCGGAATACAAAGGAGGCCATTGAATGATTGTTTGATAGTCTTGATCATTGTGTTTTTATCACTTCAATAAAAAAATATATTTCTTCTCATTTTGTTAAGGGTCTCTGTACCACTCCAATGGGAAGTACAAGATAATGGGAGCACGCATTTGACATTATTGGGTGGCAGCTGGAAATCATATTTTGTTTTAAGGTTTAGTGGAAACCTTCTGTAAAAAGTGTAATTTTTAATGGGAAACCATTCAAATGTCATAATAAGCCACACCATTTATAGATCGATTGCTGCAACTAACTCATACATTCCATCAATGACAGGTAAATGGTTTATCTAGCTTGATGTCATTATTCTGGCTGTATATGAAGACACTGAGGAAACTAATGCATCGAGTTTGAAGGACCTGGTCATTTCCATCCCAGATATGGACTTTGGAGACAAAAATAAACTTATGTGGAGGCTGCAGTATGATTTTTTCTGTAGGTTGGCGAGCAGCAAGTGAAACATGAATTAAGTGGTTTTTCACATTTTCCCGGTGTGAATGACTTTTCATCATGACTCAGTGATAATAAACATGGAGTAATTAGTGCATTACATGGTAACTGCAGTCTCTGATTTTCCCCATCAGATGGTTTGGGAGAATGGCTGTGTTGTTATCGTCATGCTGACCCCCTTAACAGAGAACGGAGTCAAGCAATGCTATCACTATTGGCCAGATGAGGGTTCAAACCTCTACCACATCTATGAGGTAAAGTGTTACACTGTGATTCAATAAAGATCGGTATTTCAGTTCTCATTATATCAGTGATTCAAGCATCTGCAATAACAAATTTTAAAATGAGCTGTTTACTTTGTTGGTACCTGTTTTAATGTGTGACTTTTCTTCCAAGAATTTTGTGAAAACAGAACCTTTCAGACTGTAAATTATTTAAGATGATAGCATCTATCTGTGAAGTACTGCTTTAACAATCTGGCCCAATGCCAGTCTTCTCAGAGTGCCTAAGCTTCTGTGGGACCTACTTACATATTCCCTTTCCTGCTCTCACGGAGCGACTCCCTTTTTAATCCTCCTAATTTCATATTCTTGCCCTCACAATTTTACATTCATGACTTTGTATTAGACCCAGTAAATTACCTGTTTTTTTTGCGCAGCCATGACATCAATCATGACCACTGTTCTGATGTCTCACCTATGGCTACTACTGCAAACACCACACATCCTGGGACATAAAGCACCATATTTGTGCATTATATCATTTAGACTGTACAATTAGAATGAATGGTACCATCTTATAATCTAAGCGTAATTGCAATTGGAAAAGAGAGCTGGCTAGAATATAAGCCAGGCAATGTTCCAGTAACAAGCTAGCTATTTTCAGGACAAGCGCAAACTTTAACTGCTCTTTCAACCAGTAAAATTAAATCTTAATATTTCATTTCACACACATTACAAACAACTCCAAGCAAAGCAGTAAACAACAGGTTTCAAGGTTTAATATGCATAACGTTGTTCGAGGCTTTAGCTCTCATTGCAAACATTCTGCATTTTCAGTGAAAGGGCATCGCTCGAAGCTGATGGCATCACATCTCTCCTCTTTTTCCAACTTATTTTCTGCCAAGCAGCCACATCACTGGCACAAGCTGTGTGCAGTTGACTAGCAGCCAACGCTTTGTGAGGTCGAATATGAGATGAGCTTTTCCTTTGCGTTCTGCTCTATCGTAGTTGTTGACGCTGCGATCACTTTGCTCTTGGGTTGTAGCCCAGGATGGTCTGGATGGTTGTCCCTGCTCCGTGCTGTCTGTAGTGACTCTCACTCCCTGCTGCATGTGCAGTGAGCTGGCAGGTGAATGGAGAGGCTGGGAGAGAGGCTTATATCACCTGTACAGTGCGGATTCACACTCCAAATGCAACTCATTCTCAAAGTGGTTAACATTGACAGGGTCCCAGCTACAACTGATACGCAATCGAACCAGTGCCAATAGCAGTCTTTAACATAATATCAATGATTCAACATCCTAAGGACTGATTACATTGGAGACCCATATTTTCATTGCTGTTGTGATTACTGTTGGACCCTCTAGCATTGGCAGATTGAAGGTCTCCATTATGAGCATGCCTCCACCCACTGATGTCAGAGTTCCATCAAGACTAGATCACAAAGGCTACTCCAGTCTTATGCTTTCTCTCAAAGTCATGCTCTACATGGCGTCCCCAATTTACAAGCTTGACCCTATACTGTGGTGTAATTTTAAAGACCTGACATACGTACACTTCCTTCCTAAGGAACGCCTGCTTTTTGTTGTCCTGCATTGTGCTCTGATCTGCATAAACAAATCGATCTGGAACGGACTCCAGAATGGAACCTGTTTGTAAGCCAGGAACTGCCTGTATCTGTTATTGTAAATAGGTCAAGTGAGTGCACAGATCATTTATATTGGTAAACTGAACAAACTTGCAGAGGATAAACTGCTGTCCCAGAGAGGGGAACTTGCAATATTCCTGATTCCCAGGATGGTGCATGGTGTGGGTGGAGCAGTCCCCAGCTCCATTTCCCTGATGTTTATCCTGCTAGAGTTAAATTACTAGAGCTGGGAGAAGGCTCATGTAGATCAGAAACAAAGGCTTCTTGGCCTGGCTCTGAAGCCTAAAGCAATGTAAAAGCTAGACCTTGTATCTTGATTAAGCTATGTACAATTCCTATTTGATGCAAACTGTGCGTTACTGCAAACAAAGGGAATGTTTACACCTGGAGGACAGTCCAGATCTAGAGGACATCAATATAAGATAATCATTAATAAATGCAGTGTGATTCAGAAAGTGGTTACAATGAGGGGAAACAATAGAAGGATCTATTGATAAGATGAAATGATGTAGAGTGGGAAGAGGATAAAAAATGCATAGACCATTTTAGTCAAATGGACTGTCTCTGCGCAGTAGATAACCCCTTTACTTTAACATTTTATTTCAGGTTAACCTTGTCTCCGAGCACATCTGGTGTGAAGATTTCCTGGTACGCAGCTTTTACCTCAAAAACCTCCAGACAAATGAGACACGCACAGTGACTCAATTCCACTTCCTGAGCTGGTTTGACCAAGCTGTCCCCTCATCCACCAGGATCCTCTTGGACTTCCGCAGGTATAGCAGCTCAGTCGGGAGCGAGATAACGTCATTGTGCACTTTGTTTAGCTTACTCTTGTGTGTGTCTCATTGATTTTAGAGGCCTTTCAGGCATTACTGAGGCCCCTTGGGAAATGCGGGTATTTCACCAGGAGACCTGTAAACCTTGGGTGTCAAGGTGCTGAAGCATTTGGCTTTAAACATTGCTTGAACCGGATTTGGTTGGCAGTGGGCCAGTGATTGTCAAATAAGTAGCATGAGGTTGAAGAAACCCAGTGAACACAGTGGGGCAGCATTTTCTGACTGCAGATAGAGATACAGTTGATATGTCTAATTAATTTATTCCTTGTGCCCTGAGGGAGCAAATTTGCACTTTAAAGGAGATTGTGAGACAAAAAAAACAGAGCAAAAATTAGCATCAATGTGTGAAGTACTCTTTTAAATTTGAAATTATGCTAAATATTACCCTAGCCTGACATATTTTCTTGCTGTGTGCCACAGAATTTACTAACAGTGCTCGCTCTGTAAATGGACAAACTCTTATGTTACCAGCTCATTAACAGTTGCCAGTGTCATTTTTGTGATGTTGCAGCTAGTAATATAAGCCCAGTTGCATAGTCACAAAAGTGATCATTGGAAACTGTGACTCTGCAGCAGGGAACAATGTGGAAAAATAAACCTTGCCTTGACCTCTAACCACCTTTGACTTTTGCTTGCTAATGGTTTGCATGATGGTTTCTCTCTTGAGCTGAATACTGGTTGGTATCACTAATTCTTGTGTTTGATTTTTAACACATTACATGGCTAGAATGAGGACAGAGTGCTTTTCTGTACGTAAACGCATGCACCCAAAGGGAAGAAACAACTCGTAATGGGTGTAATTCAATTGTTTGGCAGCAATGAGCTTTAATTTTGTTTCATGTTAATATTCTAATTTTGCACAGACAGCACAGGCATTCACATAAACAGGCAGTCTGGATTGCGTGTTTGAATTGAGTTTCTTCTGCTTTATTACAGAAAGGTAAACAAGTGCTACAGGGGACGCTCATGTCCGATAATTGTTCACTGCAGGCAAGTACATTTTCTTTGTGCATGCTTTTTTTTAATTAAAAAAGGGAGCACGGGACTGGGAGCCATTTCTACAGAAACCCCCTCCCCCGTGGCTGAGGAACATCAGCAGTTCCCTGGTGAACAGCTGACTGAGAGTCGGGTAGACATTTCTACAAGTTAAAAATAAAAGAGATGACAGCAGCTGTCTTATGGGTCTGAATGGCAAAATGCTAATAGCAATTAATTTTTTTCCAATCTTCCTTCTCTTATTGTTGACAGTGATGGCGCCGGAAGATGTGGGACCTACATTCTCATTGACATGGTTCTGAATAGGATGGCCAAAGGTGAGAGTCGATGGCTTCTCTTGTTCGTGAAGATGAGTGTGTGAATGTGTGTGTACTTTCTGTGTCTGTGAATATATATATGTGTGCTTGTGTGTTTGTTTTTGAATGTGTGTGTATGTATATGTGAGTGTAAGTGTATATGTATGTGTCTTTTTGTGTGTGTGTGTCTATGTATTTTGTGTGTGTCTTTTTGTGGTTGTATGTAAATGTATGTGTGTGTGTATTTTTGTGTCTGTGAATAGGTATATGTGTGCTTGTTTTTATAGATGTGCATGTATGTATATGTGAGTGTATGTGTATATGTGTGGGTCTTTTTGTGTGTGGGGGTCTTTTTGTGTGTTATATGTATTTTGTGTGTATATTTTTGTGTTTGTAAGTATATGTATGTGTGTGTGTATTGTGTCTGTGAATATGTATATGTGTGCTTGTGTGTTTGTTTTGCATGTGTGTATGTATATGTGAGTGTAAGTGTATATGTATGTGTCTTTTGTGTGTGTGTATGTGTGTGTATTTTTGTGTGTATATGGATTTTGTGTGTGCATTATTGTGTTTGTATGTATGTGTGTGTGTGTGTGTGTGTGTGTGTGTTTGTGTGTGTGTGGTGGTGGTCGTCTTGTTGCCCTGGAGACTGTAGGCACTCACATTCAAGAGACAGCCAGAAAGAGAATATGTACAAAGCAGATTGTGCGCTTTGCTGAATGGCCTATGGTTATTTGCACTGCCATAGTGATTGCTAAATCAGTTCATTCGAAAATAAAGGCTGTGCACTCCAGATAATGGTTGAGAGTAATTAATAATAACAAAGAAAAGGTTTTACTGATAAAAGAAAAATGACTGCACAACACAAAGGTCCAAGTGTATTGAATGAGGGGAGATAGTTAGAAGACAGACCATGTGACATTTAAGTACAGGATCATCATGCTGTGTCAATCATCTTTCAGCTCCATTTACTTGGTCTGTCTTGGAAGCCTTTTCAAGGCACAAGAAATGTGGAACAAAGGCTTTCAAGTAGACTGCTTTCCACTATGCAATGTGTACTTATATATAAAAAGATCTATTAATAAGTCTTTTCTTCCAATCAGAATGTGACACGATGCTAAGTGCAGAAAAGCACAGCAGGTCAAACAGAACCTGACCCAGAAAACTTGCATTGGCAGACTGCAGCTGACCAGGATGAAACCAGCTGGAGTAGCAAAATGAGTGCCTTTATCACTCAGCGCTCTGTAGTTCACAGCAGAACCCAGCAAGCTTTCCAAAATGAAAGAATGGTGCCTGGAGCTTTGTCTCCTCGAAGAGACGCACAAAACTTTTAAAAGATGGTCAAATAAGGGTGACATGTTCCAGGTCCTTTTCCAAACCTACTTAGGTTTCTGTTGAAGATACATTAACTCCAAGTTTCTCCTTTAGCTGATAACCGACTGTCTGATCATAACATGACAGCTACAGTTTATTTGGGAGCACTGCCTAAAATGCTGTGTGAGAAAACCTGATTTTTCAACCCATCAGCAGGAAAGATATTCCATGCAATAAGTGGTTCTCATAATACACTGCCCAATATTTATATCTAAACCAACATCACTAAAACATCAGCATCTGCAGTTCTTGCTGTCACTAAAACAGTTCATCTGCTTGTTGTCACGTTGCTGTTCATAGGATAGGATTCCCACCAGCCACTGAATCTCATTGATTGAAGTAATAGAGGAACCTAAACAGGTCCAATTCGCTTTGCCGTTTGCAGCATTTGCTATATTCATGTCATATTGACTTTGCAGGCAACTACGAAAATTGCTGGGGTTTATCGGTGACTATTTCAGTAAACCCAGGCCGTGCCTACTGAGGGTCAGTGTATAGTTGCTAAATCTGTGAATGGTTACAATGGGTGAAAAGTGCAAGGGCAGCTCTGGAAACAGTCATTGAGTTCACCCATTCTCTGCAAGTGTTTGACTTGCCAGAAGAGAAAGCGCAGCATTGTTGAAGCTGTTATTTTAGAAGTCTGTCATTATACTCGTTTGGAAAATTAGTCAGCATCTTGAGGTCCTTGTGTTTGTTGCATCTGAAAAATGGTTTGGAAGTTTGGAGATAGCTTTATTTTTAAACGGGGCAGAGGATGTCATTTAGTTATCTCTTTGTACCCTGCAATGTCAAATGGCATTTCAAAGCACAATGTCAGTGCTTTGCACAATGCAAAGGAAGTCATGTGAAACCAGGCTGAAGAAAGGTTTCTTCAAATTGGTCACCCTGCCCCCATTTCTCTCCCCTCCCCCACCTCACCAGGCATTTCGCATTGACCTCTTCTTCTTTTGCCTCCGGTGTAAATGGCTTGAAACCCTGTGACCTGGAGGTTTGGCACTTGTTCGAATGGAAAGATCAAAGGGCAGAGTGGGTATCTAAACCTCCCGCTGAGCTGGGCCTTTCCCAGGCTGTCATACTGAGAGACAAGCAAAGACTTTGTTCTGAAAGAAATCTGCCTGGCTTCTAAGGCCAACGCTCTCATTGTCTGGGGTAAAAAAGTTTGAGGCCTGAGAAAAGATCTAGTGTTCATCTGCCGATCAAAGGCTGAAGTTGTGGACCCCTAAATCTCTCTTGCTCTTTCTTCTTAAACAAAAGAATGCGATGAACCAGTGTGCGACATTGAGAATAGCCCTAGCTTGCTTTACTAGCACTGTCAGAACAGCATTAATAGCATCGAGAGCACAGGCTGAAAGTGCAAATTCATATTTGACACATATTTGATCAGCGAAGTTGGTCATTGCATGGACAGGTAAGGGAATCTCTCCTTTAACCTTGTGGTTTCTGTAATAAATACAGAGAAGGCTAAGATCTGTAACTCAACCCAGTGCAATTACAGAGAATGTGGAAATTTCCAAAGCTTTCACCTTGACAAAGGTCAAAGGAGGATGGAAAGCAAGACAAATCAAATATTTTAAGTTGAAGACTGCAATGTCGGTTACAAAGTAAAGGGTAATTGTATCAATAAACTAAGAATAGTCTGCATTTGAGCTTGAAGAAATAAAAGAGTGACTGAAGAGTCAAGAGAGTTAGCAGCAGTGCATAGACTATTTAAAAATCAAATCCTGAGCCTGCTGCTTGTGAACGTGGGGATTATAGATGTGATGGAAGAATCCTAATTAAAAATATTTGATTAGATAGTTTCAGCAATTGAATGTTGAAGTAATACTCAAGTTTAGAAACAGAGATGTGTATGTTTGGATGTTGGCCTCTGTTTTAACGTCATGTTGGGTTTGGATGGGGGCATGGTGTGGTGAAATGAAAAAACTTATCGCTTCTTGAAACGATCATTTTAATCACCTGGGCTTCCTTGAAATCCTGCCCGATGACTTGGCTTCTGGAAGAGGTAGGGAGTTGGTGGCCTGTGGCAGTGGGATGCTTCACAGTCTGAATAAACCTCACCCATTGAGCTGGAGAGTGGGATCAGTTTTCGATAGATTTGGATTTAGATTTTATTGTCACGTGTACTCAAGTACCGAAGTACAGGATTACAATGAAAAGTGTAAAATATCACCACACGTGCGCCATTTTATGTATAAAAGTAACCAGATACAAAAAACTTAGGTACAAAGTAGTAAAAGAAACATTTAAAAAGTTAAGCATTACCTTTTTATAATAACCAAAAAAAAAAGAAATACGGTAATAGTTAACATTAAGCATTAACTGGGGAGGCGATGGCCTTGTGGTATTATTGCTAAACAATTAATCCAGAGACCCAGGTAATGTTTTGAGCACCCAGGTTCAAATCCCACTACAGCAGATTCAATAAAAATCTAGAATTAGAAATTGCATGATAACCATGAATCCATTGTCAATAGTTGGAAAAATCCATCGTGTTCACTAATGTCCTTCAGGGAAGGAAACTGCCATTGTTACGTGGTCTGGCCTACATGTGACTCCAGACCCACAGCAATGTGGCTGACTCTGGGCAGTTGGATGTTGACAATAAATGCTGGCCTGGCCAGCAACGCCATCATTCTGTGAATGATTTAAAAAATAAATTGAAGTCCTTCTTAACATAAGTTAGAAAAAATAAAGGAACAAAGTTAAAGGTTCAGCAGTCTTTGATCAGTCAGTGCTCCACTTGTTCTCCTGGAGACCGCAGCTGCCAGGGGAGCCGCCTCACCGCTCGCTCTTCCCACATCGGGCCGTGATGCTATCACTGCTGCTGAATCTACCACCTCCCCAGTCACCTTCCGCTGATATTGAGCGGGTGTGGGGGGATGGAGTTGGGGAGCTGAAATTGGGAACAGTGGGGATATGGGAAGGGTGTTGGGGTAGTGGGGGTGGAGGGGGTAGTGTGGATCTTACATTCAGGAGCCATGGATGATTGCAACCGAACAAGATGAAACTTCCATTGTGGGTACCGAGAGCAGCAAACCCAAACTTTATGATCAAAGTTGACAGTTTAGTGTCAAACTGAGGGAGCATTGTGCTGCTGGACATTGCATTCTGTTGACAAGGAGTTAAACAAAAAAAAAGAAAATGCTGGAGAAGATCAGCAGGTCTGGCAACATCTGTGGGAGAGAAAACAGAGTTGACGTTAAACTAACCATCAAGCTACCTGAAGGAAATCGCCTGACTTATATTGTGGAAGAAGAAAATCAGTGGAGCATCGAATGGGTAATAACTGCATTAAAGGAGTGCTCAAAGCAGTTTTATGTAAGTGGGTGTTCTCTACAAAATTAATTTCTCAAAATACTTTTCTACAGAAATACCGTCCCGATAAAATAGTCCAATTAAAATGAAGCTTTTGCATTTTGGAGAGATGCCTTTCCCTCTTTCAGTTTGTTGAATATAACCTCAGAGATCAAAGAACTTTTAAGGAGAGAAGTTGGTCACTACAGTCCACGGCAAACTGATCAAGAAATGATTTCTTGCACCAAACCAGGAAGAAATGAGGGCTGTTCGCAATGAGACATAATGCCTTGGTCTTAATCAGACCCCTGAATGAAATAAGCCTACTGTCGCTGCAAGCCAGCTTTGCCAGG